AAACACTACTGAGAGAAATTAAATAAGACAAATAATTGGATAGATAGATCATGTTCATAAGTTGGAAGACTCAAACTGTTATTTTGTCAATTCTCACCCAAATGATCTTAGATTCAAAAGCAATTCCAATCATAATCCTAAACGGGCTTTTTCATAAAAAAAAAAGACAATCTGATTGTAAAATTTATATCAACATGTAAAGGATCTAGAACAGGGGCTGACAAACTATGGCCCGAGGGCCAAATCTAGCCTGCTGCCTGTTTTTGTAAGTAAAGTTTTATTAGAACCCAATCACACCCATTAATTTATGTATTGTCTATGGCTACTTTTGTGCTACAATGGAAGAGTTGAGTATTTTCAAGAGAGACTGCATGGCCTTCAAAACCCAAAATATTTACTATCTGGCCCTTTACAGAAAAGTCTGCAGACCCCTGATCTAGAATATCCAAAGCAATCTTGAAAAAGAAGAACAAAAGTTGAAAAACTTACACTGACTTCAAGAATTACTACAAACCCACAAAACCCACAATGACCAAGACAGTGTTGAATGGTCAAAAGGACCCACAAATAGATAAATGGAATAATCTATATAAAGAGCTCAGAATTCAATCCACATTTATATGGTCATTTGAATTGTGACAAAAGTAAAAAGGCGATCCAGTGGAGAGAAAGAAGGTCTTTTCAACAAACGGCACCGTACTACCTGGGTATTCATATATTAAAAAATGAACTTCAACGCCTGCCTCACAACATACTAAAAAGTAATTTGAGATGGATCATAGATCTAAATGTACAAGCTAAAACTATAACATCTTTAGAAGAAAACAAGAGAATATTATCAGGTCTTGGAGGTAGTCAAAGCTTTCTTAGGTCACAGAAACAATGAACATTAAAGAAAAAAATGATAAATTACATCTCACCAAAATTAAAAATTTCTGCTCATCAAAAGACACCACTAAAAAAGTAAATAGGCAAGCCACAGACTGAGAGATAATATTCACAAAACATATATCACACAAGAACTGGTAACCAAGACATATAAAGGACTACAACTCAATAATAAAAAGACACCCAATTAAAAAATGGGCAAAATATTTAACCAGACACTTCACAAAAGAAGATATATGAATGGTCAATAAGCACATGCAAAGATACTCAACACTGTTAGTCATCAGAAAAATTCGAAGTAAAACCCCAAGGAGATACCACTACACACTCACCATAATGGGTAAAATTCACAAGACTGACAGCACCAAGTATTGAAGAGGATGTGGAGCAACTAGAACTCTCGAACACTGTTGATGACAGTGTAAACTGGTACAACTACTTTGGTAAAACCTTTGGCAGTTGCTTATGAAACTAAACAGTCACCTATTCTATGACCTATGAGTTACACTCCTAGGTATTTACCTGAGTAAAATAAAAACACATATCCAAAAAATCCCTTTTTACACGAATATTCATAGCTTTATTCATAATAGCCCCAAACTAGAAACAGCCTAGGTGTTCATCTGTAAAAGAATGATAAAGAACAACAATAAAACCATGAAACATAACATGGAGGAAGCTGGAGGTCATTATGCTGAGTGAATTTAGTCAGTCACAGAAGGACAAATGTTGTATAAGACCACTGTTATAAGAACTCAAGAAAAGGTTTCAACACAGAAGAAAACATTCTTTGATGGTTACAAGGGTGGGGAGGGAGGGGGAGGGTTATTTACTAACTAGATAGTAGATAAGAATTATCTTAGGTGAAGGGAAGGACAGCACACACTACAGGGGAAGTCAGCATAGCTGAACTAAACCAAAGCTAAGAAGTTTCCTGAATACAGTCAAACACTTTGAGAGACAGAGTAGCAGAGGTAGGGGTCTGGGGACCATGCTTTCAGGAGATGTCTAGGTCAATTGGCATAACAAAGCTTATGAAGAAAATGTTCTGCATTCTACTTTGGTGAGTGGCGTCTGGGGTCTCAAAAGCTAGCGAGTGGCCATCTAAGATGCATCAACTGATCCCAACCCACCTGGAGTAAAGGAGAATGAAGAACACCGAAGACACAAGGAAAGTATTAGCCCAAGAGACAGAAAGGGCCACATAAACCAGAGACTTCATCAGCCTGAGACCAGAAGAACTGGATGGTGCCCGGCTACCACCAATGACCGCCCTGACAGGGAACAAAACAGAGAGTCCTGGATGGAGCAGGAGAAAGGTGGGGTGCAGTACTCAAATTCTAGTAAGAAGACAAGACTTAATGGTCTGACTGAGACTGGAGGAACCCCAGAAAGCACGGCCCCCGGATTCTCTTTCAGCCCAGAACTAGAACAATTTCTGAGGCCAACTCTTCAGACAGGGATTGGACTGGACTGTGGGACATAAAGTGATACTTGTGAGGTGTGCCTCTTAGCTCAAGTAGATACAAGAGACTAAACAGGTAGCTTCTGTCTGGAGGTGAGATGGGAAGGCAGAGAGGGTTAGGAGCTGGCTGAATGGACAAGGGGAATCGGGTGGAAAGGAGTGTGCTGTCACAGTAGAGGGGGAACAATTAGAGTCACATAACAATGTATGTATAAATTTTTGTATGGGAAAAAATAAAAAATAAAAAAAAAATAAAAAAAAAAGATTCCTTCCTCGTGGTCCAGAATTATTAAATATTCTCCTGGATTTTTTTAAATCTTGCTTTATTAGAGGGAGAAAAACAATTATCTGTAAACATAATTTTTAATGCATGGTGATAAAAATAAATCGCATAGTTCTGCCGCAGTTCCCTTTAAAAAAAAAAAAAAAAGAATGGATTCCTGCAATGGTATGAATTTTCAGAACGGGCAAAACTAATCTATGGTGGTAAAAATTACAGCAGTGGTTTCCTCTGGGGAGTGTGGGTGGGGTTTGACTGGGAAGAAGTATGAGGGAACTTTCTGTAGTGATGGTAACATTCTATATCTTAACAGGGGTTTGGGTTGCATAACTATATGTATTTGTCAAAACTCAGCAAGTGTATACTTAATATTTTTAATATTTTTGAATTTCATTAGATGCAAATTTTATCTCAGATGAAAAAAGCTGTAAACAGATACTGAACTCTAATTAATGATATAAATGCTGAAGTATTTTAGGGGAAAGTATACTCATGTCTGCAATATATTTGAAATGTATCAAAAATAAGATTAATTGATGGATGGATAGAGGGGTAGACAGATGGATAGACAGGTAATAAAGCCAAGTATAATGATTTCTTAATGGTAGAATCTTGGTGGTAGGTCTATGGGTTATCCCTGTAAAATGTCTTAAACATTTCTATATGTTTAAAAATGTTCACAGTAAAATGTTAGAAAAAATATTCAGCACTCCTTGTTCTAGGCAATGGGGATACAGAGATGACTGAGGAGGGTTTCCCAGAGGACTGTATCCAAGGGAAGTGAATTATTTATGTAGTTCCTACTATAAGCCAGCAGCAAAGGCAGGGGCAACAATTAATTTTTATCTTCACAACTGGGTAGAGTAGCCTGTTATTTTAACTGGAAACTCATGGCCTGCAGATTAAGTGACTTGTCCCACGCCATGGCAGCCAGGATTTCACAATGAACACTGAACTTTCTATTTACAAAGTCTATACCCTTTTTAGTATGTCAAGTTAAGTTTTTCAGGCACCTCTATCCTGCCCCTGTACCCCATATTTCCCTCCCTGACTTATTTTTTCCCAACTACTCATCACCATTTAATATATATATGCTTAGTTATTTTTTTATTAACTATCTTCTCCCAAAAGAATGAGAACTCCATGAGGACCAGGATTTTTATCTGTGTGCTCACAGTTGCATCTTCAGTACCAAGAATAGTGCTTGGCTCTTTGTAGGTGTTCAATAAATATTTGTTGAGTAAACTGAATTAACAAATAGTAGGAATTAGCTCAGAATAAGTGGAAGCAGGAGAGGTATTTCAAATACAAAACAGCATAAGAAAAAGCTTGCAGGCAAGATGGAAAGTGATTTGCTCCAGAAACCTAAAGCAGTTTGGTATAGCTAGAAGAGTTAGAAGGAATCAGATCATGCAGAGCCATATAAGTCATGAGGAGGACTTTGGTCTTTCTCTGAAAGCTACTGAGGAGGCTTAGAAGGATCTTAACAGGGGAGTGACAAGATATGACTCGTATTTTAGAAAGATCACTCTAGCTGTAGCATAAAGAATGAATAGAAGGGGCTCACGGTGGAAGCAAGAAGACCAGTTAGAAGGCTTCTACAATAGCACATAAGAGAGGTGATAGTGGTCTCACTGAAAGAAGCAGCATGGAGATGGGAAGCAATGGATGGTTTGAAAGAAATTTAGGAAGTAGAGTGGATAAGACTGGTTGTGTAGTGTAAGGGAGAGGGAGAAGTTAAAAATCACTCTTAGATTTTTGGTTTGGGCAAATTGATGGATGGTGATGTCATTCAATGAAACTGGGGACATAAGTGGAAGAGAAGGCTTGAAATGAGTGGCAATGATGAGGTCAGTTCTGAATATGCTTTATGATCCTACAAGATATCTAAGTGGAGATATCCAGTAGACAACTGGATATACAGGCCGAGAGCTTTGTATAAATCTGGGCTAAAGACATAAATTTTGTGGTTAACATACCTTTGAGTACTCTACCTATTTGGTCACCGAGGACAATTTAATAACTGTTTTTCATTTTAATAGTGGTTTCACTTTTAAATACTATCGCAAATATCTGGTCCCCCAAATCTACTATTCCTTGGCTGTTGGCCTATTTATTATTCCTTGTTGTTGTTGTTGTTAGGTTCCACTGAGTCAGTTCTGACTCATAGCAACCCTATGTACAACAGAACAAAACACTGCCCAGTCCATATGAATTATAATAAGAATACAAATTGTGCTCTAATAAAAAGCTATGGAATAGCAAGATTAAATGTAGCAAACATAAGGATTTTAGGGGTTTTCATTAGATTAGAAGGCTGAGATTTGGTAAATACATTACACTGGGGGATATTTCTTTGGTACTCACCTGATCAAATACAGCTCTTTATTCCACGGGTAGATATTTAAGACTGGCCCAACCCCAATCATGTGGTTGTGACATTCTCCAACATTTTCAATATATTCATGCTTCAATGGCACTTTGCTGAGGAGTTCAAATTCCTCAGGAGACTTTTGAAGTACCTGTTCTGCTGCATAGAATCCATCTACTAACAGTGTCCTGCCACCTGTTCCTTCATGCTTAAGACAGTGAAACACTTGAATGCTAAAGAGGAAAAAAGAGGAAATTCTTCTGTTCAGTGGAAAAAGAGAACGTTTCAAAATTCTAGAAAATTATATACGAAATGACTACTGAATTTACTTGTGCCATTTTCTTTTCATGAAGAAATAAATCTCATTTCTTAATTGTTTTCCCCTCATAGCCAGTTGTGGTTTTTTCGTGCTTTGAGATATTAATGCCAATAGAGGTTTCTTCTAAACATATTCAACATGCACTGAAACCTATATAGGCCAGGCTCTGGAAATACGGGCATGAATAAGATATAATTTCTGTTTTAAAGAAGCATATAATTTAGTAGGAAGAAATGGAGCAAATAAGTACCAATAAAAAAGATAGTTACTATAATAAATTTGTATACAGGAAACAACCACCACCAGCTCCTGTGGGGTCGATTACAGCTCATGGCAACCCCATGTGTGTCAGAGTGGAACTGTGCTCCATAGGGTTTTCAATGACTGGGTTTTTGGAAGTAGACTGCCAGGTCTTTCTTTCAAGGTGCCTCTGGGTGGACTCAAACCTCCAACCTTTCAGTTAGCAGCCGAGCGTGTTAATTGTTTGTACCACCCAGGGACTCCCATATAAGATACACTGGGGCCAAAAAGAAGGGAATGATCTATTCTAATGAGGTGTTGCATAAAGAAATGTTTTGGAGAAGGATGGGAATGACTGGAATGATATTACAGGGGTAGGACTGGCAGGGTTTGATAACTGATTAAATGGAGAGGATGAAGGACAGGCAGAAATCTATGAAGACTCCAGGTTTTTCACTTGGGCCACTCTACGGATGATAATGCCATTTACTAGAACAGACATGCAACTGGATGATTATGAGGGGGTGTGAGAGGTGGAGGAGGAAGCTCAGCTTAAGAGCGTGTTGAAATAGCTGAGTTATATATGTCTGAATACGTTAAAAAAAGAAAGGAAGGTGACCATTAATGGACTGGAAAACTAAAGCAGAACTTTCAAATTAACAAGGGGGAAATAAAATTAATAGTAATTGAATCAAATAAAAAAAGGGAAAAGAGTGAACAACAAAGTAAATTAAGTAATAAACATAAAGAAAGATAGAAGGAATAAAATCAAGAAAAATCTTATATAAATACAATTAAAATGAGAAAGGTCAGTTACGGCCATGTTGAACTTTCTGTGAAACTTGCAAATCAGGATTATTTTGTAGCCAGCTAAAGATGCTTAACTAAGAAGACAGGTCAAACTAAGGATATAGACTTTGTAGTTCTCTGTGTGAGATACCTAAAGCCAAGAGCATGGAAGAAGTCATTTGGAGAGATCATTTCAAGTAAGAAAAGAAGGACAAAGACAAAACGCTGAGGAACAACAAGATTTAGCACATGCACAGAGGAAAATAAGCCAGCAAAGGAGGCCGAAGAAAAATGGTCAGAAATATAGGAGGAAACTGAGGCACAGAGAGGTTAAGTAACTTGTTCAAGATTACATAGCTGAAAAGCGTTCAAACTGGGCTGCAAATCCAGATCTGGTTGACTCAGTAGCTCCTGATTCCATGTGAAAAGGGGTATTTTTCAATCAGTCCTTCTCTCCAATTTCTTGTATATCTGATTCAAATTCCTCTTAATATCATACCCAAAGCAGCTGTGTTTGCAAGACTGACCTCTTTGCAATACGATAATAACAGAATGCAAGAAAACTGTACAAATTCCAAAACTAATAGCTAACCAATACTTTTCTGGTAAGTTATTTACACTGTAATTACTTTGAGAAAAAATGTAAATTCAACAAAATTAAGACTCCATTTATGTATTAAGGTGGATTTTCAATCACTTTTTAAATGTTTATGCATATGAGTTTAAGACTGAGCCAGGATATCTCAAAATGATCATGTTTCTGGGAGAAGAGAAAGAAATAGTTATACAAATAAGCAGCAGCCAGATATGATCTTGGTTCGGATAGAATGGGAAATGATTAAGAAACTATTTGAGACCATCACATGTAAAGACCCCATTCTGTAAAGTCTAATTCACCTACCCACACGGCTCTTGAAAATAGGTAGTGTCAGTGTGTCGATCCAGAGCTAACTTGGTGTACGCAGTGTCACCCCTGGAGAAGTCTGAAGTGAAATACCACATCCTCCCATAGATGGTTTCTCTGTAAAATGAAATAAAGGAAGACCTATTAGCTATTTGAATTTTAATTCTTGTCTTTCAAAACTCTTCCCAATGCTTTCTTTAATCCCATTCTGTTTATGTAGAGCCTCACTCATCTTTCGGACACGGAGGAATAAAGAAAAGTATAGTTTATGTTAGCAAGTATTTGAGACTTCCTGTACAATTGTTCCATCCTTCCATGAGATATACATCATAGATTTTGATTTTATAGTTATTTTCTTGGTAGGCTCAGATGTCACTTTAATTCTTTAGTTTTCAGTGTTCATCTGGTTCTCTGAACCCTTCAAGTCCAAATAGGAAACATTATTCCTTCTGAACTGTAATCTCCAAGCCCCCTCAATTTATTGCTACCAGCACAGCTTCCTTTATTTGAAAATTCTCAAACTGTGTTTCAAACTGAATAGTTCACAAATGCTGTTGACTATGCTCTACTAGTATAGGGTAAATGACCCCACATACTATCTGCTATACAAATGAGGTGTATCTGGCTCATATTAAGTAACAGTACTAATTATAATAAGGAAGTCCCTGTGTGGTGCAAATGGTTAATGTACTCAGCTGCTAATCAAAAGGTTGGAGGTTTGAGTCCACCCAAAGGCTCCTTCGAAGACAGGCCTGATGATCTACTTCGGGCAGTTCTACCCTGTCCTATAGGGGTGCTATCAGTCAGAATCAACTCCACGACAATGTTTTTTTTTTTTTAATGGAGCACAGTTCTACTCAAACACATGGGGTCCCTATGAGTCAAATCAACTCAATCACAACTGGTAATTTGAATAGGTTTACATCATGTTTAATACTACAGAAGATCAATCTATATACTACCTAGAAATGCAGCATAGCAAATGGAAAGAGCACAGGAGTTAGGATCAGTTGCCTCAACAGAAGAAGAGGGAATAAAATACACACTTTTTACATTTACTATAATGACCACCCAAAAATGGGTATGAATGTGCTTGCTAAATGCTCTATAGTGTAAAGCAGTGTTACTAATAGTACTCTGAATCAAGCTTCAGGAATCATAGCAGGTCGGTCAAAACTGGATGATTTTTAGATATCATCTATTTCAATCCTCCTGTTGAACATTCTTGGCATGTCTCAAGCTGAAAGGAGAAACTCCAGCCTCAAATTGCGATATTGAAGGATTCTATGGGAAAAATACTGAACGACACAGGAAGCAGCAAAAGATGGAAGGAATACAGAGTCACTGTACCAAAAAGAATTGGTAGACATTCAACCACTTCAGGAGGTAGCATATGATCAAGAGTCAATGGTACTGAAGGAAAAAGTCCAAGCTGCACTGAAGGCATTGTCAAAAAACAAGGCTCCAGGAATTGACGGAATACCAATTGAGATGTTTCAACAAACGGATGCAGCACTGGAGGTGCTCACTTGTCTATGCCAAGAAATTTGGAAGACAGTGTGATGGTTAAGAATGTGTGTCAACTTGGCTGGGCCATGATTCTCAGTGGTTTGGAAGTTATGATGTAGTTTGGTAGTCATATAATGATATAATTACCTCCACGGTGAGATCTGATATAATGTAATCACCTCCATGATGAGATGAGCAGCCAATTGTTGAAAGGGAGTTACCCTGGGGGTGTGGCCTGCATCCAAAATATATGGACTTTCTAGCAAGCTCCCTGGCTTTTGCTCTGCTCTGGATTCTGCAGCTGGCTCCAGAACCTCCAGTTCTTGGGACTTGAGCTAGCAGCTTACCTGCTGATCTTGGGATACATCAGCCTCCACGGTCTGGATCTTGGGTTTGCCAGCCCCTGCATCTATGCGAATTGGGAGAAGCGTCTAGCGTAACCCATGGATTTGGGACTTTCCGGCCTCTACAACGGTGTGAGCCATTTCCTTGATCTCTCTCCCTCTCTCTATATATATATATATATACACACACACACACAGATGCTTCACTAGTTTTGCTTCTCTAGAGAACCCAGCCTAAGACATCTGGTGCCAGGAGTGGTTCTAGAGAAACAAAATTGTAAGGACGAGTTTTCTAAATTGGTTCTCAAGTCTGGTTAGTCTTAAAAGATATTGATGACTCTGCTTCCAGTAGTAAAGAGGGCACTGCTAATCCATGGCATGAGGTGGCAATACAAATACACAAAATATCACCACCAATATATCAGGTATTGGTGAAAGGAGAGGCCCTGGGTGACTGCATGTGTGATACCTTTCTACAATTTTGTCATAGTGAGAAGTATAAGGAAGCTGGTTGGTTGATCCTACTTTTGCTAGACAAAATGGTGAAAGAAAGAGATGAGCTCAGGGCTTCAGAGTCAAAGCTCAACTGCCGCATAAACAACCTCAAAATTTCCACTTGTGCCTTGAAAGAAAGCCTTATTTCTTGTAGTAACGGAGCCATAAAGTTGGACATGTACAGCAGCACTCCATCATTAAATGGAAGTGGTATACACAAAACTGGGCCTAAGTAGGACCTGAAGGCACAAGTTGCATGAGGAAGTGACCCAAATGCCCAAGGTCTCCACCCCTGTCACATTACCTTCCATCTCCCAGTCTGCACCTATGGCCTCATGGGGAGTTCCTTATGATCAGTTGACTGAAGAAGAGAAAACTCGTGCCTGGTTTACATATAGTTCTGTGTGATATGCAGGCGTCACTCAAAACTGGACAGCAACAGCACTAAAGCCCCTTTCTGGGACCTCCCTGAAGGACAGTGGTGAAGGGAAATCCTCTCAATGGGCAGAACTTCGAGCAGTACACCTGGCTGTTCACTTTGCTTGGAAGGAGAAATGGTCAGATGTGTGATTACATACTGACTCACGGGCTGTGGCCAATGGTTTGGCTGGATGGTCAAGGACTTGGAAGGAACCTGATTGGAAAATTGGAGACAAGGAGGTATGGGGAAGAGGCATGTGGAGAGACCTCTCTGAACGGGCCAAAGAAGTGAAGGTATTTGTGTCTCATGTGAATGCTCACCAAAGGGTGACCTTGGCGGAGGAGGATTTTAACAAGTGGAAAGGATTCTGTGGAAACAGTCATCCTCTTTCCCCAGCCACTCCTATCACTGCTCAATGGGCTCATGAACAAAATGGCCATGGTAGCAGGTATGGAGGTTATGCATGGGCTCAGCAACATGGACTTCCACTCACCGAGGCCAACTTGGCTACAGCCACTGCTGAGCATCCAATCTGCCAGCAGCACAGACCAACACTGAGTCCCCGGTACGGCACCATTCCTTGAGGTGATCAGCCAGTAACCTGGTGGCAGGTTGATTACATTAGACCACTTCCATCAAGAAAAGGGCGGTATTTCGTTCTTACTGGAATAGACACTTACTTTGGATTCTGATTTGCCTTCCCTGCATGCAGTGTTTCTGCCAAAATACCATCCATGTACTTACAGAATGCCTTATCCACCATCATGGTATCCCACACAGCATTGCCTCGGATCAAGGGACTCACTTCACAGAAAATGAAGTGTGGCAATGGGCCCATGCTCATGGAATTCACCAGTCTTACCATGTTCCCCATCATTCTGAAGCAGCTGGCTTGACAGAACAATGGAATGGCCTTATAAAGACACAATTATGGCACCAGCTAGGTGGCAATACCTTGCAGGGCTGGGGCAACGTTCTCCAGGAGGCTGTATATGCTCTAAATCAGCATCCAGTATATAGCGCTGTTTCTCCTATTGCCAGCATTCATGGGTTCAGGAATCAAGGGGTGGAAATGGGAGTGGCACCAATCAGTATTACCCCTAATGACCCACTCACAAAATTTTTGCTTTCTGTCCCCACTACCTTATGCTCTGCAGGTCTAGAAGTCTTAGTTCCAAAGGGAGGAATACTCCCACCTGGAGACCCATCACTGATTCCACTGAACTGGAAGCTAAGAATGCCACCTGGCCACTTTGGGCTCCTTATGCCTCTGGATCAACAGGCAAAGAAGTGAGTTACCATATTGGCTGGTGTGATTGATCCTGATTACCAAGAAGAAATCAGACTGATATTACACAATAGAGGTAAAGAAGAGTATGTCTGGAATACAGGAGATCCCTTAGGGTGTCTCTTAATACTACAATGTCCTGTGATTAAAGTCAATGGAAAACTACAGCAACCCAATTTCAACATGACTACTAATGGCTCAGACCTTTCAGAATGAAGGTTTGAGTCACCCCACGATGCAAAGCACCATGACCAGTTGAAGTGCTTGCTGAGGGCAAAGGGAATACAGAATGGGTGGTGCAAGAAGGTAGTTCTAAATACCAGTTACAACCACGTGACCAGTTGCAGAAATGAGGACTCTAATTGTTATGAGTATTCTTTCCTTATATGTGTGCATCAAATATTTTTGTTTTCTTCACCTATAAAATATAAGACGTAAACAGGGCTAGTGCGTTTTTGGTTGTATACATGTTAGGTGTATCATGTTAGGCGCAAGTATGACTTTATAATTGTCTTTATTCAGTGATTATGTATGGTTTAAAGAGATGTGTACAGGTGCCAAGTTGACAAGAGGTGGACTGTGATGGTTAAGGTTGTGTGTTAACTTGGCTGTGCCATAATTCTCAGTTGTTTGGCAGTTATGATGTAGTTTGACAGTCATATAATGGTATAATCACCTCCATGATGAGATCAACTCCATGATGGGATCTGCTGTGAGTAGCCAATCAGTTGAAAGGGAGTTTCCTTGGGGTTGTGGCCTGTATTTAATATGGGTGGACTTTCTGGCAAGGCTTGCTGGTTTTTGCTCGCTCTGATCCTCCAGCTGGCTCCCGTTCACCTGACCTATGGTTCTTGGGACTTGAGCTAGCAGCTTACCTGCCGATCTTGGGATACATCAGCCTCCGCGGTCTGGATCTTGGGTTTGCCAGCCCCTGCAGCTATGTGAATTGGGAGAAGCATCCAGCCTGACCCACGGATTTGGGACTTTCCAGCCTCTAACACTGCTTAAGCCATTTCCTTGATCTGTCTCTCTCTCTCTATATATATATATATTGCTGCTGTTGTTAAGTGCCATCGAGTCAGTTCTGACTCATAGTGATCCTATGTGCAATAGAACGAAACACTGCCTGGTCCTGTGCCATTCTTATGATTGCTGTTATGCTTGAGCCCAATGTTTCAGCCACTGTGTCAATCCATCTCATTGAGGGTCTTCTTCTTTTTTTACTGACCCTCTACTTTACCAAGCATGATGTCGTTCTCCAGGGACTGATCCTTCCTGATAACATGTCCAAAGTATGTGAGACATAGTCCGGCCATCCTTGCTTCTAAAGAGCATTCTGGCTGTACTACTTCCAAAACAGATTTGTTCATTCTTTTGGAAGTTCAGGGTATATTTAATATTCTTTGCCAACACCATAATTCAAAGGCATTAATTCTTCTTCGGTCTTCCTTATTCATTGCCCAGCTTTCGCATGTATATGAGGCAACTGAAAACACCATGGATTGTGTCAGGTGCACCTTAGTCTTCAAGGTGACATTTTTGCTTTGCAACACTTTAAAGAGGTCTTTTGCAGCAGATTTGCCCAATGCAATGCGTCATTTGATTTCTGGACTGCTGCATCCATGGGTGTTGATTGTGGATCCAAGTAAAATGAAATTCTTGACAACTTGAATCTTTTCTCCATTTTTCGTGATGTTGCTTATTGGTCCAGTTGTGAGGATTTCTGTTTTCCTTATGTTGAGGTATAATTCATACTGAAGGCTTTGTTCTTTGTGTTCTTCATCAGTAAGAGCTTCAAGTCCTCTTCACTTTCAGCAAGCAAGGCTGTGTCATCTGCAGTTTATATATATATATAGATGCTTCACTGGTTTTGCTTCTCTAGAGAACTCAGCCTAAGACAGACAGCTACCTGTCCAACCGACTGAAAGAGATCCATATTTGTGCCCACTCCAAAGAAAGGTGACCCAACAGAATGCGGAAATTATTGAACATTATCATTAATATCACATGCAAGTAAAATTCAGCTGAAGATAATTCAAAAACAATTGCACCAGTACATCGACAGGGAACTGCTGGAAATTCAAGCCAGATTCAGAAGAGGACATAGAATGAGGGATACCATTGCTGATGTCAGATGGATCTTGAACAAAAGCAGAAAGAATATCAGAAAGATGTTGACCTGTGTTTTATTAACTACACAAAGGCATTCAACTGTGTAGCTCATAACATATTATGGGTAACATTGTGAAGAATAGGAATTCTTGAACACTGAATTGTGCTCATGAGGAACCTGTACACAGATTAAGAGGCAGTCGTTCAAACAGAACAAGGAGATACTGCATGGTTTAAAATCAGGAAAGTTGTGTGTCAGGGTTGTATCCTTTCACCATACCTCTTCAATCTGTATACTGAGCAAACAATCTGAGAAGCTGGACTATATGAAGAACGGGGCATCAGTATTGGAGGAAGACTCATTAAGAACCTGCGTTATGCAGATGACACAACCTTGCTTGCTGAAAGTGAAGAGGACTTGAAGCACTTACTGATGAAGATCAAGACTCCAGCCTTTAGTATGGATTACACCTCAACATAAAGAAAGCAAAATCCTCACAACTCGACCAATAAGCAACTTCATGATAAACGGAGAAAAGATTTAAATTGTCAAGGATTTCATTTTACCTGGATCCACAATCAATGCCCATGGAAGCAGCAGTCAAGAAATCAAATGATGTATTGTATTGGGCAAATCTGCTGCAAAAGACCTCTTTAAAGTGTTAAAAAGCAGAGTACAAGGTGCACCTGACCCAAGCCATGGTATTTTCAATTGCCTCATATGTATGTGAAAGCTGGACAATGAGTAAGGAAGACTGAAAAATGGATGCATTTGAATTATGGCATTGGCGAAGAATATTGAATATACTATGGACTGCCAGAAGAATGAACAAATCTGTCTTAGAAGAAGTAAAGCCAGAAGGATGTGAGGATGGCAAGACTTCATCTCAGGTACTGTGGACGTGTTATCAGGAGAGTCCAGTCCCTGGAGAAGGACATCATGCTTGGTAAAGTAGAGGGTCGGTGAAAAAGAGGAAGACCCTCAACGAGATGGACTGACACAGTGGCTGAAACAATGGGCTCAAGCATAACAACAATCATAAGAATGGCACAGGACCAGGCAGTGTTTTGTTCTGTTGTACACAGGATCGCTATGAGTCAGAACCGACTCGACAGCACCCCAAGTACAGATGGATAAATAGAGGCCAATGGAGGATTAAAGGGAGGGATGAGTGTGTGTATGTGTGTGTATATGTGTGTGTGTGTGTGTGTGTGTGTGTGGAATGGAGCTGACTATATCCACACAACTGCTTGGAGGCAAACACAGATTACTACCCAGTTCTCCTAATTCACAGTCAGGGCTCTTTCTAGTGTATCATGATACCTCTCACTTTGAGAACTACCAGGCTAGAAAAATACACCAATAACTCTGAAAGTCTTCATCATATTTAACATACAAGCATCTCTAGAGATTAGAAATCCTGACCTCAATAAATAAAGCACTCTAAGTGGGGGTACCTTTATTCAGACCACAGAATATTCTGAATTAAGAACAAGGGTGACCATACCTGTTCCATTTCTTTATCGGTGCTCATGCTCTGGAAACTAATTACTGTGGATTTTAGGAAACTAACAAGTTACCTGATCAAGCTGATCCTTTTTGCTAACTTCTCTGTGTGCTCTTGAGTAGGAGGGACATTTTCTACAAATGCAATTCCATAGAGCAGAAAGTTCTGCAGAAATTTCTTCAGTCCCTCATTGGTTTCTAAGAAGCTCTGGAAATCTACAGGTGAAACTTGGGCTTGCTGGTAGATTTCAGCATTCCATAAGATTCTAGGCTGGATGATCTTTTGTTTCTGTCCTTCATAGCTGTTTTTCACCAGCCATTCCAAGTCATATCTAGTCACATGACCATCTGGCCCTTTTAGAAGACAAAATAAAAGACATTAAAAATAATATTTATAAATATTGCCAATAAATTACTGGTTAAAAATGCTGTTCTTGTTAACCAATTAGGAAACAAAATTAAAATGAGTGCCTAGAGTGTTCCTGACACGGAAATATTTGTGGGTTGTATGGAATGAATAAATGAGTGGATTAATGAAAAAATAAATCTTCCCAGCAGATAAATAACTTTATAGAATTATAAAGCATTCATTAAGTCATCAAAGAATGATGACGAAGTAATAGCAGTAGCTTCTCAGCCTACTCCCTTCTCTCTCCCCTTGCTCTCACCCTCACCTCCCATCTACACAGACTCATAATGTTTGAACTAGAAGTAACTAATTTTTATTATACAGATGGGGAAAAAGTCAGTGACTCACTCAAGATCAGACAGCTAATAAGTACCACCGTTGGAACTAGAACTCTGGTCTCCTGCTGCCTTCCTCTTCTAAATGATTTAAGGCATTTCTGTCTGATGATATATCATCAGTACAGTATGATAAAGTGACTTTGCAAGTGAATTTGCCCACTGTGCAAAAAAATTAAAAAATCAACCCCAAAAATGCTTTAGCAATTATTCAGAACAAGAAAAGGTAAACGGTTATGCTAGTATTCATTCTCTCTCTGCCCTGCATAATAATAAAAGTGTAACACTTATTGCAAAGAATTGGGAAAGCATAGAAAAGTATGAGGAAATAAAAAAATCACCTATACTTACAATTCTATTACCCAGACAAAACCACTATTGACAGCTTGGCATCATTCCTTCCAGCTTTTTTTCTATGCATTCTTTTACTTTGTATAATATATAATCTAAAATATGTAATATATAACATGTAAAATTGTGTATCATGTCTTTGTCACTTAACATTTTAACAACTAAAAAATCTTCATAAAAATTAACTCTTAAAGTTTGCAAAATATGGACTACCAAAATTTACCTAACTAATCTGCTATTCTGGGGTATGTAGGCTTATTTTTGAAAATCTTCCCTATTATGTAATAGTGATCATTCTTGTCCATATTTCTGATCATTTTCTTAAAACAGAAACATAGAATTGTTGAATCCAAATATATAAACTTTTAAATGATTCCTGATACATATAACCTTTCCAGAAATAGTATATCAAATTTTATATTCACTCCAACAGTATATATGTGTATCCATCAAAATTGAGTATTATTTTTTAAATATATTTTTTCTAATTTGATAAGTAAAACTGCCATCTTACTGTATTCACTTTTATTTGATTACTAATAAGGCTGAATATTTTTCTTGCTTGTTAACCATTTATATTTATTTAATGCAGGGGTTGGCAAACTATGGCCCACAGGCCGAATCTGGCCCAACACCTGTTTTTGTAATACCTGGTCTGGAACACATCCATGTTCATTCAATTACATACTGTCTACAGCTGTTTTCACCCTATGACTGTAGAGTTGAGTAGTTGAATAGTTGCGACAGAGACCACATGGCCGCAAAGCCTAAACTATTTACTATCTGGCTCTTTACAGAAAATGTTTGCTGACTCTTGCTTTAATGAATTGTATACTTCTTTCTCATACTTTTCTATTGGAATACTACTGCTTTTCTTATAAATTGGTCATAGCATTTTATATATTAAGAGCACTTACTCTTTGTTATAAAATTGGCAAATATTTTGCCCAGTTGGCTGGTTTTTTTTTTAACCTTTCTATGGCATTATTTTATTGTAGAGAAATTCATATCAAATGTTTTGATGGTTAACAATTTTTCCTCCAATGCTTTTTAAAAATCTTTTATTTTGCAGTAATTTTAGATTTATAGGAGGTTGCAAAGAAATATATAGGGAAGTTCTCTGCACCCTCCATCCAGTCTCTTCCAATGTTAACATCTTATACAACTATAATGTATAAACCAAGAAACCAAGAAACTGACATTGGCACAATCTATAGAGCTTACTCAGATTTCGCCAGTTATACCTGTACTCATCTGTGTGTGCGCATGTGTAGATCTATGTAATTTTATCACATATGTAACACTGCATAACCACCACCACAATCAAGAAACTCAACTGTATCATCACCACAAGACCTCCTCACGTTATCCTTTTACAGTCATATCCACCCCGCCCCCAACCCTAACTCCTGGCAACCGCTAATCCATTCTCCATTTCTAGAATTATTTTATTTCACAAATGTTACATAAATGGAATCATGCAGATTGGCTTTTTCCCCCTCAGCATCATTTCCTTTAGGTTCTTCCAAATTGTTGTGTGTTAATAAACCAAACCTGTTGCTGTTGAGTAGATTCCGACTTATGGCGACCCCATGGGTTACAGAGAAGAACTGCTCCATTGGGTTTTCTTGGCTGTAATCTTTACAGAAGCAGATCACCAGGACTTTCTTCTGCGGTGCTGCTGGGAGGGGGTCAAACCACCAACCTTCAGGTTAGCAGCCAATCACAAACTGTGTGCACTGCCCGGGGACCTTGTGTGTGTCAATAGTTCAGTTCTTTTTATTCCTGAGTAGTATTCCACAACAAATGTTCCACGGTACTAACTATTCACCCACTGAAGGACATTTGGCTAATTTCTGGTATTTGGCTATTACAAATAAAGCTGCTATGAAATTCATTTACAGGTTTTTGTAGGAACGTAAGTTTTCATTTCTTTGGGATAAATGCCAGGCAGTACAACTGCCGAGTCATATGGTAGTTGTGTGTGTATATCTCTCCACCAATACCACACTATTTGGGTTCCTGTAACCTTAACAATGGAAAATTATTCCTACCACTTCATTTTTCTTTTTCAAAATTGTTTTGGCTATTCTAGGGTATGTGATTTTCCAATAAATTTTAGAATAAGCTTGTCTATATCTCTGATCAATTTGGGAGAACTGACATCTTTACTATGTTGAATCTTCCAATGCATGAACATGGTATGTGTCTCCATTCATGTAGGTCTTCTTTGATTTTTTTCATCAGCACTTTGTAATTTTTATCATTCAGATGCTGTACATATTTTGTTAGATCTATATATACCTATTTTTGAAGCCCTGGTGGCTATGAGTTAGAATCTACTCTACAGCAATAGGTTTCGTTTTTTTTTTAATACCTAAGTATTTAATTCTCTTTGGAGCAAATGTAAATGGTATTGTGTTTTTAATTTCAGTTTTTGCATGTTCATTGTTAAGTATTTAGAAATGCAAATTATTTCTGTGCATTGATCTTGTATCCTGTGACCTTACTGTACTCATGTATTAGTTTTAGGCATTATTTGGTAGATTCTTTGGGATATTCCATGTAGACAATCATATACCTGCAAATAGAGACAGTTTAATTTCTTCCTTTCCAATCTGTATGCCTTTTCTTTCTTTTACCTTACTGTAATGGCTAGAACTTCCAGTACTATGTTAAATAAGAATGGTGAGAGTGGACAGCCTTGCCTTATTCCTAATTGTCTTAGGCTGGGTTCTCTAGAGAAGCAAAACCAGTAAAGTGGATAAATATATATAGAGAGAGATTATATCAAGGAAACAGCTCACACGATTGTAGAGGCTAGAACGTCCCAAGTCCGTGGATCAGGGTAGAGGCCTCTCCCAAGTCACACAGCTGCAGAAGCTGGCGAGCCCAAGATCGGCAGGTCGGAGAGCAGGGCTCCCACTCACAGGCTGTGCCGATCGACGAATCCCAGGTTCGGCAGATAAGCTGACAGCTCAAGTCCCAAGAACGGGAGATGAGACGACAGGAAGCAGCCACAGGATCCAGAGAGAGCAAAAAGCCAGAACGTCTGCTTATATACAGATGCGAGCCACACCCCCAAGGAGACTCCCTTTCATCTGATTGGCTACTCACGGTATATTCAATCATGGGAGTGATTACATCAAAACACGGAGAATCATGGCCCAGCTAAGTTGACACACAATCTTAACCATCACTCTAATCTTAGAGGGAAAGCAGTCTCATCATTAAGTAGGATGTTAGCTGCAAGGGTTTTGCAGATGCTCTTTATGACGTTAAGGAAGTTTCCCTCTATTCCTAGTGTATTAGGAGCCTGGGTGGCACAAGCAGTTTGTGATCGGTGGCTAACCTAAAGGTTGGTGGCTCAAACCCACCTAGCAGCTCCATGGAAGAAAGGCCTGGTGAATTGCTTCCATAAAGATTACAGCCAAGAAAACCCTATGGAGCAGTTCTACTCTGTCACATGGGGTTTCTATGAGCCAGACTTGACTCGATGGCAGCTAACAACAACAGTGTCCTATCTACTGTCAAGCCTACCCAGGGAATTTTTCATTTCAGATATTATATTTAAGCCGTAAAAGTTCTACTTGCTTATTTTTATGTCTTGTATTTCTACTCTCATTATATTCATACTTTTATTTAAATCTTTGATCATGTTTATAACAGTTGTTTTAAACTTCTCATTTCCTTATTCCATCATCTCTGTCATTTCTGAGTCTGTTTCTATGGACTGATTTTTCTCCTCATTATGGGTTACATTTTCTTGATTTTGTGCTTATCTAGTAATTTTTCTGTTTTTTTTACTGGATGGTGGGCATTGTGTACTTGACATTATTGACTGTGTGGATCTTGTTGTCTTCCTTTAAACTGTGTTGGATTTGTTTTCTAGGTAGTTAAGTTACTTGTACATCGGCTTGATCCTTTTAGGCTTGTTTTTTAAGTTTTTGTAAAGCAGGTCTATAGTACACTGTTACCCTGTGGGGTCTCTACTAAATTCCCTGGGTGTTCAATGAGGTCTCTCTACTCTGACTGGTTGGAACACTAATGTCTCCCAGCCTTTGTGAGCTACAGAAATTGTTTTGCTTACAGCTCCTCAGATGATCTGTGCCTAACCTCATGGAATTTCATCCTACACATGCACAGCATAGTATTCAGTCACAGATTCAAGGGGATGTCTGCGTAGATTTCCAAAACTGTTTTTCTGTGTAACTCCCTATTCTTGGTTACTCTTCTTCGCAAATTTCAGCCACCTCAGC